CCTGCATTACGTGGTACGCTGTATGTAGCAAACTGGTTCGCATTTACGGGAGGGGCCCGCTGTCTCCTGGTTGACGACTTTAATGCGCACGCGTGGACATGGACATGCCCCCCTCCCTCTCTCCTCTCTCCCTCTCTCTTCTCTCTCTCCCAGTTTCTGTCCTCCTCCAACGTGACTCTCATCTGCCTGTCACCTCATTAAGGCCCCGACTCGACCCCTTCTCTCCCGCTACGCTTTGTTCATCAGGGCTTAGCATTTATTTTTATTTATTTTTTCAGACAGAAAGTAGCGCTTTTACGAGTGACGTGAGAAATATGCGCGGTGATGGCGCATGATAAGCAACAAAATCAGTGACAAAGTTGAACGATAATATATTGTGAATGAAAAGTCCCCCAACGCCGGTGGATTTTACGCCGTGTTTGGTGGGTTTTATGTGTCTTTGCGCGTAATATACGGCAGCAGGTGTATGTTAACGTCGGATGGAATGGAATGGGCGTGGGATTATCCCTTCAAGTAGCAATATCGTGCATAAACTTCAGTCTTTGCCAGGTGGTTTGATATTGAATTGGTTATTATTGTCGGTTATTGTTCTAGTCGACAATATCCACGCAATATGATACCGTGGCGTGGACCTTGCTATGTATATCTACGTGTGCTAGAGCAGGTTCTTTTGCGAGTATGTGTGTGTGTGAGTATACCAAGCTCAGCGAGGAAAAAAAACACCCAATAAAGTTTGAAAGGCATCTTGTGAGAGGCACTTTATGGTGGTGTAAATCTCCCATTTTATCGCCGGTGTGTGCGACTCTACAAAATAAGGCTCAGTGCATAAAATATCGCTCCGGCCGTTTTACAAATATTGAGAGTAGCAGGTGATTTCCTTGTGGTGGTCTTTCGGAGGCGCGTGTCACCTAGTAATAAATAAACATTGCAAAAACACTTTTAACCAAAATTTATAACGTGTGTGTGTGTGTTTGTAAATGCACACTACTGGCGTAGGAAACTAAATTGCTCCCCTTTCTCAATTTCAATTTGCTTGAACTTGAATCAGTGTTAAATAAATTGCGGCAAAATTGCTCCTTATTCTTTTGTACTGACACGCAAATGTTATTACTGCCCCAAAATGAAAGAGCTTTCCAGTTACTTATGATTTTAACACGGGAGGCGCAGCATTTACTTCGCGTCCCGCATGGCGGTTGGCGGTGGCTGACCTAAGGCCACCCCCATATGACCACCCTGCTGCAGCTATGCTGGCCACGCGAGGGAAAGAAAGTTGCAGCAGTGCAAACTTAAACCGCTTTACGGCCATTCACGAGCTGTGCTCGGGCTACCGTATAATCGACGCCTGTAGCAGCGCGGCCTTTTAACTTTTTTTGTCGACTCGTAAAGTGAAGCGCTTGCAAAAGTCAAACATGTAAGTTGCGCGTTAATTTTCATCCATCAAACGGAGTAGTATGTGTAAAAGTGAGAAGGGGAAGCAGGGGGCCGCACCGGTACTCGATGACGATTTACGACAGGTAGTGGGCAACCTTTTTCACGCTGCGCATTGGACTTTACGAGACAAACTCACTAGCCGGAGGGACATGTACGGCGTTGGCGCTGTTTGTTGCAGGTCTCATGAATGGTCTTGCTTGTCTGCTTGCAGGGAGGAGCTGGCCATGAAGATCGGACTGACGGAGGCGCGAATCCAGGTAAGTTATCATTTCCCGCGAGGGAATGGATTAATGCAAGACAACGGGTTTCTGCATAAGGGTGGTTTCTTTTATGAATGAGACATTTTGGGTGCTGGAAACCGAATGTAGCTGAACTTTCCAACACGTTTGCTGGTTTCCAAACGCTGAACATTTTCTGCTTATTTCTCCCACTTTGCTCGCGGAGCCTCGGGGTCGTTTTTCCTTTGTCGAGTGCAGCACGACGACGGGGTCTGGCGCTGCGGGTCCGTTTCATGTAACGGTGTATACATTTCTCTGCTGACAAATTATGCGCCTAATCGGCTATACACCTCGCAACAATAACTGGCCGCAATCACACAGGCCAAGGCGAGTGGGGCCTAACTGCGGGCGAGCACGCCTCTCCGGCCGCCCGCCGCGCCCCGCCACGCCGCCCACGGGGATGGTTCACTTATCTAGGGAGTGGGACTGAGTGGGAACATATTCCTCGTATAAGCGCTATTATTGGCTAGTTGGCTAGTTGGCTAGTTTATAACGACGCCGGGATTTCTTTTGAAATGAGTTGGCGTGGTAGGTGTCATAGGAACTGATCTGGAGAAAGGGAGGCAGAGAGAGAGAGAGAGAGAGAGAGAGAGAGAGAGAGAGAGAGAGAGAGAGACGATAGCAGTTGACTTGCGTCGTTTTGGGGCATAAAAGGGGGTGTCGGTGGCGGAACAGCCCCCAGGCACGCCACGCCGCCCCATCAGTGAAAACGGGACAATTAGTATGGTGTACGCCAAAAGAAAAGAAGGGACAAAAATGAAAATTACCGGAAAAAGCTTTATTTTGGCGTCTAATGTGCCCTAAAAATGTGAGGCTAGAGTTACATCATTGGCCGGCCACGTCGTTTTGTGTGTCAAATCGGTCAAATCTGCGGGTGGTGAGCGGGCAGGTCAATGTTGCACGGTTGTGGGGGTGGCGGCGGCAGTGGCAAAAGTGTAACGTTAAACGTCGCGTTAACGGCGGCGCCCATAGCATCGGAATTGTAAATGAGACGGCGGCCAAGTTTTCTCTGTCGCTGCCGCTGCCATTCCCTGCGCCACCACCGTGCGCGCCCCATAGAGAGAGGATAGACGGGAGACCTCTACATTAGACTCTTCAGACCGTGACGATAGCCGCGCGAGAGTCTCAGGGTTGTGTTTACCGAGAGACACAGGGGCAGAACACATTTACACGCGCGCGCACATACATACACGCACACACACGCGCGCGCGCGCTCACACACTCACACTCGTTGCGGCGTAAAGTCCAAACGAGGAGGAAATGGATTATGGTGCATTTGAATGCGAATGTGCGTTAATTGTATTAAGAATGAAACAAAAGCAGTCGCGCGTGTGTGCGAGAATTCATACATACGTTGCAGAGCCGTCTATGCGGCAATTGAGACTCAATCCTACTCGCCATTAAACACGGCGCTATATATATTCCGCGTGTTTATTTTACCCGTCCGACTCACATCCTCATAAACGCCTCATTTCTATTTAAATTAGTCGGAAAAGGCCAATAAATTAATTGAATAAGACGGGTACTGTCCGGCGGCGGGCGGTAGGTAGGTAGGCAGTCAGGCAGCGCCTGACCCAGGCGGGCAGGTAGACGGGAATCTTCACATAGGTGTACGAGCGCCGGAGGCGGGTAAGGGTGCGCAGGACGACATTGCTGACCCTTCATAAAATTAATTTACTGCTTATTCAATAACTTTTAATGAAAATCGAACGAGTTGGGATTTTTTTTTTTTTTTCAAAGAAACGTTTGGGGCAAACAACAACTGTTGTCGTTTGGGGTTCAAAATGTAAGAATTGTAAATAATTTATTATTTTTTGGTCGGGCTAGTCTGCCCGCGTCCGTCACTCCAGGCTGCAGGTGTGTCCTTGCCGGCCGTGGCACTGCCTCGCTCACCCACATAGCACTTACTCCCCATCTGCATATTCAGCTCGCGCTTGCCCGGGCAGCGTGGAGCGGGCACTGGTTATCAGGGGGCTCGGGGCCCCGTGGCCCCTAACTAATTGAGCTAATTTGATTATGTGATTACACTCGTGACTCCAGCGTGAACCAATGCCTTTCCACCTGCCTTTTGCCTTCTGCGCGCGCCCTCTCTCAAGGCCGTGTACAACAACATCAGCTTATTTCCGTGACCGAGGTAAAATAGTTTGGATGGAGTTGAAAAAAAGGAAATACCGCGTAGAAAGAAAAATTAAAATAGGTGTATGCAAAGGCGGTCCAAAAATATGTTCTCGCAGTTTTGAAATTATCTAACGAGTTGTAAGACAAAATTCACGTATCAAAGTATATCAGGTCGTCTGGATTCGAACCCCTGACTGATATGATCGCGTGCCCCGCTTTTCTACACGCTCATTTGCCGCCTGTTCTCCTTCCAGGAACTCCGTGCTGGCCGCACCACGCCGCCGCGCTGACCAAAACTAATTACAGTTTAATTAAAGATTCGAGATTATGATCAGGTTGGCAGTGACACCGGGCCTCGTGTGCGCATGTCGCCGCAGCGCCGTGCCAGCCAGCCAGCTCGCGTGGCGCGAAAGTGAAACAGTTTGAAATCGGAAGGTGACGACAGCGGTGCGGGGTTTGGTTTGGGGGGATAAGCTGGCGACATAATTTTGGAGCGCACGCTTTGTTTGCGTCGGAGCGAAACGTACGCTCCCTTGCTTGGCATACTGTTTTTTGGAAACTCCAGAGAGGAATATTTTTCAAAAGTTCCAATGTACGTGTACAATGTATGATTCAAATTACCCGTATTGTTATCACGATTTCTTAAAATACTCTTACCGCACACACAGTTCAAGAACTCGTAAGTCCAGTGTGTGTGTTTAGCTTTTATTTTCCGGCGGCACTGTCAGCCGCACATTTGGTCGGCGCCACATTTTTTTCCCGCCCTGACGCCCAAATCGCCTTCTCTTGCCTCCACACAAAGTTGTTACTTCAATTAGCCGGGCAAAGGAGCGAGGCGGCAGGCGGCCGGCCCGTGTGTATTTTGGGCACGCAACGACTGGGACAGGCGGACCGACGGACAGACGGGACGAAAAATAACAGATGTATGGAACCAAACGCTTCCGAATGTGCTCAGCTGGGCCGTCAGGGAGTTGTGTAATGTATTTGACTTTACATGCCATTTCTCATTTCCTTTGAAACCCCTTTCGGATAACACTCGGTAAAAAAAATAGTATAAAATTGTTGCTGGTTATTTTTCTTTGACGGGAACAGGGGGACCCTTTAATTTAATTTCTCCAACACTACAACGCCTCGCCGTTTGTGAGACCATATCGTGTTAGCTATCGTGTACGGAAATCTACTCACGAATTAGTTGACAATTGCCCCGCTTTATTACGGCGAACACAAGTTTTCTTGAAATGCATTGCGTGTTAGCAGCTTGGCTCCTCTACCCTGCGCACGACAGAAACGTTAAGCTAGCATTTTTCTAGAAAAGTAAAAGGTTCCTTTTAGTGCTTTTTATTTATTTAAGTGTCAAAACGATTCAGTTTATAAGAACAAGGCTTGTTTCTGAAAAACTAAACACTCAGCTTAGCAGCTCCTTAATCTTTTAAATGAGTGCAAATATATAGTAGATACTTTAAGCATTTATGATTGCAAGTTGACATTAAGAACTAAAATAAAATTAGTTTGGAAGGACATCATGAATCATTAGTAATATCCACAAATCGTTACAGAAGGAAGAAACTTTTTTTTCACCTCTAGAAGGCCAGTTGCATTACACACTAATCGCACGACCTAATGAAACAAAGAATGTTTCCGAGCGCGACACGTATTAGGCTAATGAGAAGGTCTTCCCCTAGCGCACGCACACTTACGCAGTCACACACACAAGCCTGTGCCACTTAAAATGCAATCATCATCGACATTTAAATTACTAGTTATTACTTGCTTTATTCGTATTTGTTTATCACGCAGCACACTGTGTGTGTAGGGACGCACCTATAATTTTCCCAATTAGCTTCCCTCTGCTGTGTGTGTCGCTGCTATGCCAGCCAGGCTTTGAAATGAGAACACACACACAGATACTCACACTCATACCCACACACTCACACTAATGCACTCAAGAAATCGATTTGTGTTTACTGGCTGGCTGCACAGTCGAGCGGAGCTGTCACAAAGGCGGGGACGCCTCATTGGTGATTCAAATAGGAGCGACTCTTCACTCGTTAGTCGGAGTGGCTGAAGGCGCCTCACGCGGCCACCGCTAGTAGCAGCACCACCAGCACCAGCACTACCTCCAGTGCCACCACCATTACCACCACCAGCATCCGCATCAGTCAAATATTTTTTCCCGGCAGATCAATATCTTGCGCCACCTTTCTAAACGAGCTAATAAGACGTGCGGCATCGATGTATCGCACGGCCATCTACGGCTGTTTGGGCGTGCGCGCGCGCAAAAGGCAGGGGGGAGGGGGGGGGGATCCAGCGGCAGGTGTAACATCCGAAACTCACTTTTTCGTGTCGGCGGTATATCCGCCATCCTCCTCCTGCGTCCTGTCAGTGGGGATAGCAGCGCTCTGCTGTTGATTCGGATGCGTTTCAAGTCCGTGACTCGTCTGCTCCGCGCGGGATGTCTGCTATTAGCCCTCTCCTTCCAAGGAGACACGCCGCCGCGCTCGGATAAGTCAGTCTCTCTCGCTCCCTCGTTCTTGTCTTCTTCATAAACTTCTTCAACTTCATCTTCTTCACCTTCTTCATCTTCTTGATCTTCTTAATCTTCTTCACTTTCTTCTTCTTCTTCACTTTCTTCATCTTCTTCACTTTCTTCATCTTCTTCACTTTCTTCATCTTCTTCACTTTCTTCATCTTCTACACTTTCTTCATCTTCACTATCTTATTCTTTACCATTCTCCATCCGCTTCTTCTTCTTCTTCTTCGTCTTCTTCTTCCCCCTTCTTCACCGTCTCTTCACCTTCTTCTTCTCCCCCTACTTGCCTTTCGCGTTGGGGAAATCAAGTGAGCTAGCGCACCCATTTCAA